GTATTTTTAAAAGTCTGCATTACTGACTGTGTAGCGACCTGCAAGGTACTTTTGATAACCGATTTTCACAGGCTTGCACTTCCAGTTTGTCTGGTTAAACCACGTTGATGTATGTCCCCTATGAAGACGCTACTTTCGTCGTTTGTACTTTGTGGCTTACCGATCTTAAGGGGAAACTTAAAGGTTTCAAGATCATAGCAGATGCCGTTAATCATATTAAAATTTTGTTTTCTGAGTCGTAATTTGACTTTGCAATGATTTTGTAACAACTACCTTAATGCAAACGCTACTTTATTGAGTAATCTGTTTTCTTTCACAACCCATTTTTTATTTTCATTCTTGTAAGAGTCTGGAGACTTGACCTCTGAAGAAGCTTTATTCTGTACTCTATAGCTCTGACCTGTAAGAGCTCAAATTCCTAGGAGTTAGAGTAAATGTTTCAAGAGATTATGTGCTGGACTTCCTGCTTTTGCCTTAACTAATATGTTGAAGATATGTTGTCACTGAATTGATGCAGAGTGACCTCCATAAGATTATCGTCTCTCCTCAGCCACTCAGCTCGGATCATGTCAAAGTTTTTCTTTACCAGATTTTAAGAGGTAATTTTTCTTCTTTTAAATTTAATGAAAATTATGTAGTAGTAGTATTTTTTTTTTCCTGTTTCTTAATGTTTATTCTTAAGACATCCTCATCTTGAATAAGTTTCCCGTGGAAACTTGTTCTTTTATTTCATATTATGAATGAATAGCAAGCATTAATTATTCTAATTAGCAGAATATGGCAGGCCCGCTGCCTTCCATCACAGTCATGGGTAAAGATGGCAAGACTTATGCTTCAGCTGCAAAGGCTTTTTCAATGGCCTGTGAGAGTCTTAAGATGGGCGTGTGTGTTTTAACAGTCCTCCAATGCTTTTTGAGTCAAGGTACAGAAAGTACACCGAGAGTGAGCCAAATTGATAAATGTATGTAACCATACCCACTGAAGGTATTCTGGAGAAGAGTCGAGTTTCAATTGGTATGCAACAGTCCACTAAAGTCTGATTTTTAGCTAAAACAATTTACCATAACAGTAATTTTAAACTTTTTTTTTTTAGTCCATTTGGAAACTTTAACCAAGAAATGAGATTACTGTGCTTGTCTTGTAAACATCCGATCAGTGTTAGTCCAGGTGCTTTTCCATTGGCTTTATTGGAGGTTTTTCTCTGGAATAAGCTGAAAGTAAACAGTCGATTTTAGCTGGTATTAAATAAGTAGTAGATTGTATTCATAAAGAGCAGAGCAAAGAAATCTAAATTGTACCCAGAATTAGTATGGGCTATTCCAGGTACCCGTTGTGCTAGAGAAAATATTTATGCTCCTAAAGGACAAAAGGCATTTGTGCCTCTGTGATTACTGAGTTTGATGACCGGGGCAACGCTCAAAACTCTTAATTTCTATCCAAATGGCAATGCAAAACTGTCAGCTAAAGTTTGTTCAAGAGTCACTTGAATTCTCATGCCATTTGCCCAAGCGTTTGACAGAAGAGCCTAGTGTTCCCCAGTTTAATGCTAATATTTATTTTTGCTCTATCTGACCCTACTTGAATTATGGCCATTTTTCCATTTTCCATGCTTTGCCTACTACTGCAGTTCATGTGCATAAACAACCACGTTGGTATACTTTCTTCCACTGTGCTTTTCAGTGAGGTGCTTTCTGCATTACTTTCATTTTCTTAAAAAGATCAGAATTACAGGGTCAGGGACAGCAAAAGCACGCAGGAAGCAGGGGTTTTCTTTCTTTCCTAACCGCCTAAATGTGCGAAACATCGCCAGTGGCTGTGATCAGATGTCCTAAGTTCATTAGCTCTAGCTTTGAATTTTTGCAATAATAAAGTTAAGAAATGGGCCTGGGCTTTACTGTACTTTGGGCCTGTGTTCTCTTAGCCTTGTTTTACATTATCTGCTGCTGGCTTATGAGGTTTTAGTTTGAAAAAAGTGATTTTCAAAAAAAAAAATGCAAATTAGCTTGGGTTTAATCTGAGTTTATTTCAGTGCAGCTGTTACCTAGGAAATTGTCAGTCAAATTTTAGTGCTGCAGAAGTTAAAATTGTTACTGGGAAACGGAGCGGTAAGAAGCATATGTCAGTATTCCAGTGCTGTGGTTAGCAGAGTATCCATGTCATAACCAGGGAGATGATGTTTTGGTTTTTCGTGGGGTTTTTTAAATTTTTAAAAAAAAAAAAAAAAGACTACTTAAATTACTTGCTCTGTCTGGTTTGTATACTCCAAAAGATTTATCCTTTCATTGAGTGACTGAGAGCATACTAGAGACCAGAAGTTAGAATCGTGTAAAAAATGAGCCAATGGCAAAGTCTTTGCTGATCAGGAGTTGCAAGACCTTCCAGGAAAATGTTGTCAGCCTTAAACTTCTTTTAAAAGGAAAAAAGGTATTTATTTTAATTTCGTTTAATATTTCAGGTCTGAAATATCTACATTCTGCTGGCATTTTACATCGAGACATTAAACCAGGGAACCTACTTGTGAACAGCAACTGTGTTCTTAAGGTGCTACTTAAATTTATTGAAAATGTACATATGTGTATGCTGTTCATTATAAATCAGTTGTTATTTTTTTTAACCAAAAAAAATTTAATATGAACACTTTTCCTGAAAGTAATTTTAAAAGAAAAAAAAGAATTTCACAGATTCTTTAAAAATTATACATGAAACAGACATCTTCCTTTCCCCTTTTCTCCTTACCTCTCCCCAAATGCCTAAAAGCAAGAGAGCCGTGATTCTTTTGTTTGCTTGTGTGGGATCTCTTGTGCCCTCGGCAGCTGAGAGAGCAGGCAGTTTCTTCAGGTATCGCAATGTTAGCGTTCAGTGTGCCAGTCAAAGCAAAGGCGACACAGAATGCCCAAGGCTCTTGCATTAACGTCTCAGGCGTACGATGTTTTGGAGGGCTTAGGCACGTTGTGTAGCTATGCCAAATAGAAAAAAATTAAATTTTGCTTACACTGATTTGCTAAGCATCCTGACTGTGAAAGTTTTTGGTCTGTTTTCTTAACCCTTCTGGTTCAAGACATTTTTCAAAATTCTCAAAATCAAAGTGAGTAGAAGGCTGAATCTTTCTGTAACATTTTGAGGCGTGTCATGAACAAATGAAATCGGGTTTGGGATGAAATACTGTGTACCCAGAGGTTGGCAGTATGTATTTTTTTTAGTGTAAAGTTTTTTAATCTTTTATATTATAAATATTGTAATGCCAACTAAAAATGTACTGTGATTTCAGATAAAATTGTAGAAAGTTTAAATGGATGTGGAATAAAGTAGCATAATTTCTTCCTATTCCCCTTTCCCTTTGCTTATGCAGTTACAGCAGATTATCTGATTTATTTAAATGCTGGTTTGGAATTTCCTGCTTCATTACCAGAAGGTTACCTATTTGAAATGCATTAAGTGTTTTGGTTATTTTAATTTTTTTATTTACCTTCTCAATTTAGATTTGTGATTTTGGATTGGCCAGGGTGGAAGAATTAGATGAATCTCGTCACATGACTCAGGAAGTTGTCACTCAGTATTATCGAGCTCCAGAAATCCTGATGGGCAGCCGTCACTACAGCAATGCTATTGACATCTGGTCTGTAGGCTGCATCTTTGCAGAATTACTTGGGCGAAGAATATTGTTTCAGGCACAGAGTCCCATACAGCAGGTATAATTAAATTTCCCTTTAAAATTTTTTCTACTGCATAATTTCATGGAATCAGTTATGCTGATGCATTTTGAACCTCAAACTTGCTTTTGTTTTGCTTGGTTTACACACAGGCAACAAACCAAGCTGCTTTGAAACACTGAAATGATAGCTTCCAGACAGTATTAAAAGTAGTGATTATTAACGTTAGCTTTTGAAATGTGTATTTTTTTTTTTTTAATCCCCTGTAATCTGCTGCAGTACCAAAGCCTGCTGTAGCATTTTATTGATAAGGTAAAGGTGATACAACTGGGATCAAGCTTTTTGTAACAACTAATATGAGAAAGTAGCAAGTTTTCTGTCAAGATATAACTGGCGATACAGTATTGTCACTTGAACTATTTAAACTGCCGATAGGTAGTATTGCTCAGACTGCTTCATTTTAGTAACACTCCAGTGTGTAAGAAGGTATTGAATATTTTTTTATGTTGTATAGCTGTGGCTAGGTATAAAAACATGAGATGCACCAGAATGCTTCATCACCATTCCAACAGTAAGCAAGCTAATGTAATATGTTATAATAATTATAATAATAATCTCTAAGTGCTATTTTTACAGTAGATAAAAAATAATGTCTGCAGCAAGATATTAGAGATGGATACATTTATGCTTCTAAGAGAAGGAACAAGATGTGCTAACATAAAAATGTTTGTCTTCAGTGCTGCTAGTACTCATCTATAGATTAGAAACCACGTAGCACTAAAATTGTGAGATTATGTATATTGATTGGGAAGAAGTAAAAACACATTCCAAACTTTTGTTAAAGGTGACATTCCCAACTCTATACTTTTCTTGTTTCTTTATGCACATAGCATTTTCACGTTTGAGAGACGTTCACGTTAGCATGCTGTTTTCAACATTGGTATATTTAAAATGTTGTTGTGTATATATTTTTTCAATGCTGTGTCCTGTCTAGTGGTACCTATCCTGTCACCGCAGTAGCTCTCCCAAGGAGGCAGTCATTCTAGACAGCACTGATGCCTTGGATGATCACAAAAAGTAGACGTCCTCCCAAAATACCCCTCTCTTGCCCTTGTGAAGAGACTGCGGAGGAGAAAAGCAGCCCCCAAAACTACTAGTTAAATTGACAGCTATTCTGTTGCAGTCTCAAAAATAGTTAAGATCTCCTGTTTTTCTAAGCTTTGATCTTTTCCTATGCTGAAGCTAAACTTAAGTGTGATTTAATAGCCTTGGCTATCCTTGAAATTTCAGGTGCAAAGACGTTCGTCGGATGACTCCAGAATAGCATTATGGGGTGGGGTTTTTTGGGTGGTGTTCACTTTATTTGATTGAAAAGTTGTATAAAGTTACATAGGAGTTCCTATATCTCTTACAGTCCCTGTGCAGTAGAACCGTTTAACGCCATACGCGTTGCAGTTCTGTTCAGAGAAATGCGGCGGTACTCGGAGGCGGACAGGGTCCGTAGAAGCGCCGTGGGCTAGCCCATGTTGCGCTCGTCCCTCGAGCCGGTGCCCTGCCCCTTCGTGTGGACTGCACGTTAAAAACGCGTGCCCCGGGCGCCCGGGGGAGTTCACCGGGGGAAACCAGCAGAAACTCTCTGATGCCAAGATAGCTGTCGTCAGGCTAAAGTCTTCCTGGTAGAAAAAACAGGGAAGAAATAATTTTAAAACTGACTGTACTGGAGTTTTTAAGTCAAATCTATGATGAAGAAAATGAATTAAGCTTTACGTTCTAAACCAGACTGGAACTGGTGCTTTTGGTATGTTAAACTTTGGATAGTATCGTGCTGGAAGCGATGAATATATCTAAGTTGCTTACTCAAATTACAATAGCTAACTTTTGATAAGGATTTTGTGGGGTTTCTTACAAAAGTAAGAAATGAGATAATCTTTTCTGCGACTTAGATAATCGGAAACACTGTCAAATATAGTATTTCCTAACACCACCTTTTTTTGGTTTTTACGGATACCATTTAGAATAGTCAGCATTTTTGTATGATACAGTCTTTCTATTTTTGTTTAAAAATGCATTTTTAAAGGTGCAAATGCAAGTCCTTTTTACCTCTATGTCCAGAAACATTTAATACATCTAATTTTATCTTTTAGTGCATCCGCGGTGCAGGAAGGGTGATCTCTGGCTTTCTGACTATCTGTGGGAGCAAATGCCTTTCTCTGCTTGCTTTAAAGACTTAGCCTGCACGCTGTCTTGTAAAAGGCCGGTGATAGAGTGCTGAGGCTTGCCCACCTTCCCAGGTTAGCCGGTTCCTCTAGTCTGATTTTGCTGGTTATCATTTAATCCTCCTTAAAGCTAACGGGTCACATGCCTGAGGCAGTGAGCAGGATCCATTTGGTAGGATCGGAGCGTCGGGAAGAAAGGAGAGTCGGGCGGGCGGCGCTGCCAGCCTAGCGCAGCCGTTCCTGTCAGCTGCAGCGCGTGCGTGAAGTTGCGTTTCTGGCGTGTTGCGCAGCCAGCGTTTGGCGCGTCGGCACGCGCGCGCGCAGGGGAGAGGCTTGCTGCTCCGCACACCGGTACGCCAAGGCTACCTTGTTGCTGGATGCCGTTTGCGTGTCTCTGACTTCAGCAACGCTTACTTGAGCAATTAGTGCGTTCCAGCAGGAGGGGGGCTGTAGGGCGAGGTGGTCGGTGCCGAGCACCCGACGCCCCCGTTTCCCACGCTTCGGAGCGGAGATGGGCTTTGGAGTGCGCCCGGGCTGGTGCCGCAGGCTGGATGCCAGCTGGCCCGTGAAGTCCCGTTAGACGTTCCACGAAATGCATCCCCCAGCTAGGATCACCAAAAGCGAGCCCGGCGCCTGCGCCCCAGCACGCGCACCGCAGACCAGAGCGCAGGCAGCGGCAGCTTTGGAAGCGCCCTTCTTCTTACCCCAAATAATCATGTAATCATGTAGATCCGTTGTATGTACCCGAAAGACTTGAACTACGTGCAACTGAGGTCAGTTGAATTAAAAATTAACGTTTAGTAATATTTTTTTTCTAAAAGCGAGCCCGGCGCCTGCGCCCCAGCACGCGCACCGCAGACCAGAGCGCAGGCAGCGGCAGCTTTGGAAGCGCCCTTCTTCTGACCCAAAATAATCATGTAATCATGTAGATCCGTTGTATGTACCCGAAAGACTTGAACTACGTGCAACTGAGGTCAGTTGAATTAAAAATTAACGTTTAGTAATATTTTTTTTCTATTTTTACACTAAAATTTCAAAATAGATTTGTAATACTTCAGAAAAATATGTGTAATGACTGATGACATGCATCTAGATAAATGAAATCAGACCTCTTAACAAAACTCTTCTGTGAGTGTATTGGAAATGTACAGGCTAAGACAAGAGAATTTATATCTTGAGAGTTCTTAAGCCCGAACTTTCGGGAGATCTTTATGAAAATTGTTTTCAGTGTTTTTTCTTGTAACCATTAGAATAAAGTGTCTATATCCATATATAGATATGTAGATATAAAAATATATTAACATATCATTGCTGTGGAGTGGTTGGCTGAAAAATACAGGTGTTTATGCAGTCTACACTCCCTGATATGCTGGTATAATTTATTATATTACTTTTTCTATTTTGTAAAGACATTGATCTTTTATTATCTCAGCTCCTTATATCAGCTCCATGTGTCTATTTCTCAATTATATATTTTCCACATCTAAAAGCCTCAAGGTTCAGGATTTTTTTTTCCTGTCCAGTTTTCCATCTCCTTACAAACGTAGGTGCTTTGCTGTCACTGCTCACTGAAGTCACGCTCGCCCTGGCTGCAGGGCGCCACGGCAAACGGGAGGACACGCGTTCGGTACCGAGTTACGACGCCGCGTGTGCCTCGGGGCGCTGGACAGACCAGTGCGGCCGCTGGAGAGCGGGGGAAAGATGGAGAGAGCACACCAACTGGAGTCACAGTTTGGTGTGGGAGCAGCAGTCGCGTTTCGCAGTGCTATCCCAGCAGTCAGCGGGTGATTTGCATGCACGCAAGGCCTGTGTAATGATGATAATGGGTTTATTCTCAGGGGAGAGCTCTGCACTTGCTCGTTAGCGCGGGTGGATGCTGGTCACAAGGGAGCACTTGGGACCAGGGTGCTGACCTCACCGCTGACAAGACTTTAATTTTATTTTGTTTGACTCATACAGGGCTTTTTCTTGTTCGTTTTTATTCACTAAAGGAGTATGTGCACACACTTTTGTAGAAATACAGTGAAAGCTTCTCTGCTGATTGCCAAAATGAAAAAGGTGAATGAAACGTCACTTCATTTAAAGCTGAGACCAGTTCTAAACGCAGCATCATCCTTGCTCTTTTTTAGGTAGCTTTTGTATTCCTTATAACCAGCACCACTCCTTCTCCTTCCTCTGGTGCTAGACAGTTCTTTTTTGTTTTTTTTTTAAAAACTTATTTTTCTCATATATTGGAATTTTTCATATAGTATGTTTGTAGTGTAGTTCTGAGGGTGGTTTTTTTTTTCCCCATTTTCTACAGTTTTATTCCTGTCGACGGCAAAATATTTTGTGTAAAGTAGTAGTTGATCTGTTTTTTGGGATAATTTTGTGTGGTATCTTGGTACGTAATGCTGGCATTCAATTGAGAATATTTGGGCTTTAGAATGAGTAACACACCGCTAAACAGTTCTTAACACGCCAGTACTTCAGAATTTTCTTAATGATGTAAAATGGACTTTTAAATGGCAATAAAATACTTTACTAAACCTGTAAACAAAAAAAGCTCCCAAATGTGAAATCTCTTAGGGCTTTTTCAGCAAAATTACAAATGTTTGTGTTTGCTGTCTACTAAATGTACACATTGATATTTGTAATTTGCTATCCACAAAATAGCGGTTTTGAACCGACTCATGCCTTAAATGTAATTTCCGTTAGCTTAAGGATCTGCTGTCATGCTGCAATGTATTAACGTCTGTCTAAGATCTCAAATGTTCATGTTCTGTACCTGCAGTTGGATCTGATCACAGACCTGTTGGGAACCCCGTCGCTGGAAGCAATGAGGACGGCTTGCGAAGGCGCCAAGGCACACATACTCAGGGGTCCCCACAAACAGGTACCGCTGCAGACTGCTGGCCGCCTTTACGCTCGGTCCAGATAACCCTTCAGTCGGCCCCCAGGAGTTAGGGTTTCCTCCTTGCAGGGTGCTACGGCTGCATCATCGCAGTGTTTCACATCCTGACTGAACTCTCACGGCACCTTTGTCCATAAATACTCTGGGCATTTAATCTCAGAGCTGTCTCTGCCTGTGCACCAGGTTAAGTTTCCCACGGGTGGTTGCGGTGTTGCAGCGGCGTGGGTTAATTCTGTAGTTATTCAGACTGCTCTTGAGACGAGGTGCTTTGTCACTAGTGAAGGGCGTTTCTGGCTTCTCTCTTCTATTATTGTTTGACTTGATGCTACAGGTGAAAGGCTTTGAAGCGACAGTGTTTTGATAGCTATTTAAGTGATAATATTAGCAAGAGACGTAAATTAAAATTGACAGTATAGTTGAGAAAGCCCCGGAGGGACTCCTGTACTGACAGGATCGAGAGTGTTAGAAGTGGAAATCACCCGTTATCCAGGCCCGTAAGCAGAACAGCCCACAACCCATCACCAAAGGGTCCCCTCACACATCTGTGCAGTGACCCGAGCTGCTCGACAGCGGCTTAACAAGATACTGAAAACTGGGATACAGCATTCAGCATAACTGAAGTAAAACTGAATTTAAAAAAAACAAAACAAAACAAAAAAAACCTGGAGAGAAAAAAAGGCAGGATGATGTCATTATGCTGACTGGACAATAAAAAGGGCAAATGAAATGTACTATTAATAGATACAAAGAAATGCTTATGCAGGAATCCACAGTGCAGTAAAAAAGCAATATGTCCATCCAATATGGTCATTTTTATGATTGGTAGATAGTAAAAATTAACAAAATTAGTAACCTGTACAAGTTAATGCATGAAATCTTTCCAATAGTTAAGTTTGCATCTTTCTTTTCTGCATGTTGAAGTAACTTCTCAAACGTCTACTCACCACAATAGTAGTTACCATAGAAATGAGCACTGAATATATATTCCGCTATATGATTAACATGTGGGAGTTCTGCCTCCTTGGCACTTTTGATTCACTACATCAAGATGTCTCTATTCCATTTTATGACAGGTTTTTTTTGCTTTTAACATTAATAATAGGGGGGTTTCCTTAAGACTTTATCTACCAGTTTTAAAACAAATCAGGTCTTTTTTCTTGTTTTGCTATCACATGCTAGAAGAGTTGTAACTTTTAAGCACGTAGTCCTGCACTTTCAAGGTTTGAGATGTTTAAAAAAAAAAAAAGTTTTATAGCAATGGAAGCTGGGAGAAATACATCCGCTATACTTTATGTATAAAAATATATAACGGCATACAAATACATCCAGATACTTTATAGAATACATTGGCTTTAAATTCTGATAATTTGATAATCGCTTGGCGTTTCCAAAGCGCAGTAGTTGTGCTCTTGGTAGTAGCAAGCAAGAATTCGCAAATTTGTTAGCCTTGTTCGGTTTGTTAAACCAGGACGCTTCTCAAGAACTGAAATGGGTGCAAGAATGTCTCCTGGTTTTCTAATCCCAGTGCTGGGGCTGTTCTTGTACGAGCCTCTTGGCCCGTTCAATGATGGCAGTACTAAAAAGCAAGTGAGGTGAAATGGCATAAAATGTTTCCGATACAGATTTAACGTCCTATAACCCCTAAGTCGTAAGAAATAAACTCTAAGCAGTTAGTCCTGTGTCTGTTGAGGAGAACAACAATCATTTTTCACGGAGTGCCACAGAAGTGGAACAGTCTCGGGAGTTGGCGTGCTCGTTTGCGACTTGGAAAGGGGGGGTTACCTGCATCTAGTTGATTCCTTTAATGATATTTCCCTGTTTATGACTTCAAGCACACTTTGTGTTTGAATGCAAATTCATGGCTTTTCACCTTTTAAAATTGAGATTTTGCTGGTTATAAATAGCTAAATGTTAGCAGTTTCTTAATTAGATTAATAGGGAGAGAAAACCAAGTTAGAAACTGGTGATTACTTTGTCACAGAAACTATTTTTAATCGATGTAGGTGAGCATAGTAGGAGTTAAGGGGTAAAGCATTTTGCTGCTTTATGTAAAAATAGATTAATGCATGCAGTTTCTGATTAAAAAAAACCCCACCCCACTGTGTGTTGGCATAATGAAAATTTACATACTATGCAGACTTCTCTGTCAGTTCTGTATTTAAAAATTTTACTTCAAACTGAATTTAAGTGAATTGATAAAGTTGTTTAACTGGCGGCCCTCGGAAGAGAGTCTCGTCCCCCCATTGCGG